GTAGGTACTAATAACAACCATTTTATTTATTTTATTTAAATCTTTGAACCCCACACTAATATAAAAAAAAAAAAAAAAGTAAAAGGCAATTTTACCCTATAATAAAATTTTATGTGTTTGGTGTGCAACTCTAATCAATTTTCCACTCTGTAGAGGTTTTCAAATCATGATTTTAAATCAATTTCAAAACACATTCTGAAAACATGTTTGGTAAACTAGACAGTTTTTGATTGTTTGGTCTACCCGATCGTCCACCCAAACATCCTTCCTGATGCGGTTGACTGGAACAGTATTTTTTTTTTTTGTTTTGTAATTGCCAATCACCACCCGTTATTTGGAGAAAAAAATTACATTTGTTTTTGATATTTTTTAAATATAGAAATTACTTTTTTAGACCAAACTGACAAATTATTTTTTTGAATTGAATTTTAAAAAGAGTTTGCTTATGAGTTTTGAATAGAATTTTCAATAGAGTTTTAAGTTATGTGTTTTGTTTAAGTTTTGAAAACTCTCTTCAAAATTCATAACCAAACAACTTTTTTCACATCAAAAATTCAAAACTCTTTTTAAAACTCATAACCAAACAAATTTTCTTTTTTCAAACTATAATTCCAAAACTCACAAATTCAAAATACAACTCTATTATCAAATCATAATTTTAAAACTCTACCAAACACTACCTTAAATTTTGCTCTCGTTCCTAACTATAACTCTACCATGCATGCACGGCCACCACCATCAATCCCTCCCCATCTTCTTCAGTTTTAATTTCTAGTATTTTTTCAAGTAGTGATATATAAATATAAATAAATAAACAAATTTACATATAAAATAATGTGATTGTATTAAAACTTATCATTTTAAAATAAAATATCAATCTATATGACATTTGGCTACAGATATATCAATACCACATCTATTTATATATCATATAAATAAAATGGAGTTTCTAACATTATAACCACTAAGGGTGTGTTTGATTGGGGGATAAGGGGGGAGGGGGAGGGGAAGGGGATTATTCACTATTAGGATTGTAATCCGGGGGAGGCTCTTTATCCGGCGTTTGTTTTTTTTTATTCCGCCGGACATGGAGCCCGGCCGGACTCCTTATCCCTCATATGAGGGACTATTGTATCCTAGGGGGGGTATGGGACAATTTTCAGGGGACAATCCACTGTTGGGATTAGGTGATGAACTGATCATTTTGACCCTCTACTATTTAATTATGTATTATATTTAGTAAAATTCAATAAAATTTAAATGTCTCAATTTAAAAATAAAATAATTTTGTTAAACTTTTTATTGATGTTTTATTTATTTAATTTTTTTAAATAATTTTTTATAGATATTTTATTGATGTTTTATTTTAAAATTTTGTTTATAATTTATTTAATTTCATTATTTAAATTTTAATAGATTTTTTTATTCAATTTCATTATTTAATTATTATTATTTTTAAAAATAAATTTATTTAAAATTTTAATTAAAAAAATAACATATATTTTTATTGATATTTTATTTATTTAATTTTAAAAAAATAAATTTATTTAATTGTGTAAAAAATAAAATAAAATAAAATTTTATTTAACCTAGCTAAAAAATTAAAATATTAAAGATATGTTTAATATTGCTATTACAAGTAAACAATTAAAAAAAGGGTAAATTAGACCTTTGTTCATTTATCATATCCAGTCCATCCAACCAAACGTTGGATTCACTGAAAATAGTCATTTTCAGACATTTAATCACATGAAAAAAACAAACATGGGATACATATCTAATCCAACCAAATATTCCGGGGGATTCACAGTCCCAGGACTCAAGTCCGATGGATTCTAATCCCCCCTTATCTAGTCCGTCCAATCAAACACACTAGAGTTTTAGAGACCACATGTTTTGGTCTCTAAAAATGAAAATTTTGTTACAAAAGATATTTAGGGACTAATTTCTATCATCATGAGGATAGTCGCTAAAAGGTCGTCCCGAAAAATCCAAAAAAAGGCTTTTAGCAACAAAATTTTAAAAATGTCACTAATAAATAGGCTGTTAGAGATAAAATAATTTAGTCTCAAAATGGTTTATTTTTTGAGATAAAAAAAAATTGGTTCCAAAAGGATAATAATTCATCACTAATATTTAATTTTTGTTGTTAAAAATATAATAACGGCACTTTTCATAACAAAAATATTTGGTCCCTATAAAATAATTTTGTTCCTAAATTTTGATTTCTAAAACCTTAATTTTTTGTAATGTAAGTCACAAATTTTGTGAGAGTTTTAATATCTTCATCTTAATTTTTTAATTTTTTGATTTTAAAAAAAAAACCTCCCACCCACCATTCAATTTCAGCCTTTTTGAAATTAAAAAATCCTAAACCCTACCACTGCATCTTATTTTCAATTGACACCTCCTTATACCACTGCACATCATTTTTTTTATTCACCTCTACACCTCCATAGTCACAATCTTCAATTCAACATGTAAGTAATGGTTCCTTTTCTTTCTTTTTTTTGCGTTTTTTTTATTATGGTTTTTTTTTTTAATTTATTTATTTTTTATTATGAGCAAAAATATGATTGTGATTTTTTACACTCTGTTTTGATTACACAGTAATTGTATTTTTAAATTGATTGTGTTTTTTTACACTCAATTTTAATCACATGGTGAAGAAAAAAAAATTACAATTGAATTTTTTAACTCACTGTGTTTTTTTGAAGAAAAAAAAATAATTGTGTTTTTCAAATTTATCTATCTATCTATCTATCTATCTATCTACCTATCTATATATTATATAAAGAAAAGAAAATAAATGATTGTATTTTTTAACTATCATGTTTAGATGGATGACAAAGTAAAGCGCGTGAGAGATGGATATGGGTGTGATTTTTGTTCTTTTTGTATTTTAAGTGACATTCTTAACATCATAAATATTAAAATTATGATTGTGTTTTTTTACACTCCGTTTTGATAAGACCGTGAGGGAAAAAAAAATGTGTGATTGTGTTTTTTAACTAACTGTGTTTTTTGAAAAAAGAAAATAACTGCTTGTATTTTTTAACTATCATGTTTGGATGGATAACAAAGTAGAACACGTGAGAGACATATTTTTTTTTTCTTTTTGTATTTTAAGTGACATTCTTAATATTTTACAATATTGATTGCTTTTATTTTCATCTATTCTCTTATTGTGGGTGTTGAAGATCTACACTTGGTTTTGATCGGAAGATAAGAAAAAACAAATTTGTGATTTCTCATTTAATTGAAAAAAGAAAATAACTGATTGTATTTTCTAAATATCTTGTTTGAATGGATGACAAAGAAAAGTATGTGAGTAAATATCATGTTTTTTTCTTCTATGTATATGGTATAAAACTATTGATTTATCTAATTATTTTTTTGTAATTTAAGAATTTATAGACGGAAAATAATAATAATAATAATAATAATAATAATAATAATAATAAATAATTAACCATATCTAAATTGCATCTAATTTGAGATTTAAAAAAAGAGTCGAAATAAAATTTATTTATTTGTAATTTAAAAGTATTGAAATAGAAAATATGAATGAAATTTTTTGCTATATATAATTGTGTTGTTCAAAATTGTGAAATTAAATAAATAGATTTATGAAGAAAACAAATTATATACCAAGAACATATGCTGATAATTACAACTAAATTTCAACAGAAATACACAAAAAAACAATAAAGGGTAAAGAGACAAAACCGAAGCCTGCACGGAAGTAGTTTCCTTAAAACAGATTTCGCCGCCTCACGGGTCGAGTGCTTGAGGAAACCCGGGGTCTGTCTCCCAGGATACGACGGTCAAAACCAGCTACGGCAAAAGCACTACCTGTCTAGCTTAGCGAACAAAACAATGGCAGCACTCTCTCACAATAAGAACTATCAAGCAAACTGACTTGTAAAATGGAAGCAAAAATTTCTATATTGAAACTTGACAGGAGGGTCTCAATTTATACATGTATAGGGGAGAGAGGAAAAGCCTCCAGCCTTTAAGGCTAGTCATTAAAACACCAAGCATCCATAGCCCCTTTCCACAAAATGAAAAGTATGGATGCCCAAAGGATTTACATCCTTTAGCTGAGAAAAAAGATTTAAATACTCTTTAAAATCCTATTCATGAATCTAACATCATAAAGCTATTTCTTGGCAATTTCTTATTCAAAACTCAATGGTTTTTGGCTCACTTGGACCCAACAAAAAAAATGGTTAGGACCCACTTTAATATTTAATTAAAGTCACCACACTTTAATATTAAATTAAAGTCCCCAAAAATCATTTTTTCCAACAATCCCCCACATGAATAAAAATTGACCGAATGACTCAACAAACGGACATCGTTCAACAATAAAGACTCTGAGAGAGAGTACAACGGACTAACCCCGACATAAATTAAATAATAATATAAAATTTATTTAAAATGTATAGAAAAATAATTTAGAATGATTTAAATTTTAACCATTTCATTAGAATATACATATATATATATATATATATATTTCACTTATTATGTCATTAATTGTATATTTTAAATTCTCAACAAGAAATAAATGTCATAATTTAATTGGTAAAGATAGAAAAAATTACAAAACTTATAATTATAATAAAATAAAAATACATGTTGTCCTATAAGTTTTGTAATTTTTTTAATTTTTCTATCCTTACCAATTAAATTATGACATCTGTTTCTTATTGAGAATTTAAAATATATAATTAATGACATAACAACTGCAATATATATATTCTAATGAAATGGTTAAAATTTAAATCATTCAAAATTATTTTTCTATATATTTTAAATAAATTTTCCATTATTATTTAATTAAAAATTTTTTATCCCGTGCATATAATACAGGTGATATGCTAATTATTATAAAAACAAATTATATATCAATATGATTTATTTTAGTTTTAGGAAAAGGACACTATAACAAAGAGTGATCAAGTGAAGCCAAGATACACATTGCAATTAGTCTTTGTTTTTGTCTCTCTCGTTGAATATCATGCCACCCAAAGTGAATTCACACTTTTCCAATTTCTTCTGTCTTGGGTTAGGTCCACCCACTACCAAACTTTTCCACGCCTCATCCTCCTTAACCAATCTCCCAAACACTCCCTCTCTTCTTCACCACCCTCACAGTCACAGAGACCCAAACCTCCATCAAATGAATTCCCAAAACCTTCCATGGTTTCCATTCCTCCCTTTCCTTTCCTTCCTAAAACTACTTCTTCTCTTTCAATTCCATCTGTCTTCTAGTTATTCAGATCAATATTTGTACACGAATTGTGGCAATACCTTCAATTGTGGTTCCATCACCGGAATAGGCTATCCTTTCCGCGGAACGGGTGATCATGATTACTGTGGGTATCCGGGTTTAGTCCTCGATTGTAGTAATGACAATATCACCACAATTCAAATGGAGAACTTAACGTATCGAGTTCTGAATATCGATCAGAGCACCCAAACAATGAAGATTGCTAGAGAAGATTTGATGGAATCAACTTGTCCCCATGATATGGTTAACACTACCCTGGATAGCGCGCTATTCGAATACACTTCCAGTACTTATATGAACCTCACTTTTCTGTATGGCTGCCAGGCTCCACTTAAACCGTTTCTCAATCTTTTCCAAATTCCGTATTGTAATGAGTCTGGGAATGTGTATTTATTTGCTGGAGCTCAGGGTGGTGATCTGATTGGTTGTGAGGATAGCGTTGTAATTCCAATTTCTGGTTGGGCTTTGCCTGTGAATTCGACTGATCAGGAACAAGCTATCCGGGGTGGGTTTGAGGTTAAATGGAAGGTGGATAGCAAAGAGTGCAGTGATTGTATTGGGTCGAAGGGACGGTGTGGATATAGTCTTTTTACCAATCAGACCACTTGCTATTGCCCCACCCCGCCATACGTATGGGATACCTGCTCGGTGGCCGCCGGAGAAACACCGCCAGGTATGTTGCTTCTTTCTATCTTCATAAAAACTCTGTAGCCTGTTGTCAATTGTTTGTTTTTTTGTTTTTTTTTTTCTTTGTGTTTTCAATTAATTAAAAATGAATTTAAATGTCATATCTGTATGGTATAATAATTAAATTTTAATACGGAAAAAGGATTATTTACTAATAAATCTCACTTCACAAACTGTTATACCAATTAGTCCCACTTTTATTCTTTTGTTTCGTTTAGTCCTACTAGTGGGAAGTTTTGGTCCTTTTTTATTTTATTTTTCATTTTTTGTTTCACTATGTGGACGTTTGTGCCCTTGTGGTAATTGAGAAGTGTTTTGCGGGACCATTTCTTGTTTGGAAACATTGCAGTTTTGGTTTGGCTAATTTGAATGATACATTCAAGTACATTTCAGTCATTGACAATTAGGGTTTTGTGAATTTGAATATGGTGTTTTTGGTGTCAGCTGTGTGACACACTGGTTGGTTGTGTATACAGGGATAAGCAACAAAAAAAATTGTGTCAGTTGGACAGTGATAGTTGGGACCACGTATAGTGGTAAACAATGATTTCTTTGTAGGATTGGATATGTGTGGGTATGTGTGGGTCGGGCTTTATATATTGTTTACATTGCAGGGGCATTAAAGTGATATGTTTTTGGTTTATGTGTGTTTGGTGTGGTAGTTTTGTTGAGTTCATGGGCCATGGTTTGACAATGTGACGGTGGAGTAATTGAATTTGTTTGGGTTTCTTTATGCTGTGTTTGGTTGGGGGATTTAGGAAAGGATTTGAAAAGGAAAATGGAAAAGGTAAGTGAAATGTGAATAAATCATGCCTATATTTCACATAGTTTCACACACCTTTTCCCTTTCCCTTTCCAAATCTCATTCCAAATCCCCTGACCAAACACAGCATTATTGTTTGTGTTATTGGTTTGTAAGGTGGTATGTGATGTGTACAGGAATTAGCTAGCAAATAAGTTGTGATAGTGGGACATTGATGGTGGGGGCCACATATAGTGGTAAACAATGATTTGGTGGTGTGTGTTGTGGGCTGGTTGGTTATGTATATGTGAATAAGTGCTCCAATTGGTTGTGTTAGTGTGACATGGATGGTTGGGGTCACATGTAGTCAATTGGGTTATGTGCCTTGTGTCAACTACCAAACACACCAGTTAAGCCCAAAACCTCCTCATGCGTTTTGACCTTTTGTGACACCCCCTCTATGTATCACGTGCCACACACACCATACATCCCTTTTTTATTTACCCGTGTGTGACACACGCACCTAACCTAAAGCCCACTAACCCAGCTGTAATTGGTTTACTAACATGTAGATGAGAGCATTAACGTCCTTCAAAAAAACTCCAGGACTAAATGGTTCATTAGAAAAAAAAATAAGACTAATTAGATCTTAAGATCAAATTTTAAGATTTATCGGTAAATCTCCCAAAATAAATTTGTTTCTTTGGTCTACTTTCTTTCTCCCAAATGAGGATGGTTGACACGAATTTCAATATACTGAGGTCGCCAATGAGACTCATTGATCCTGTTTGAGTTGTTTTGTAAGTTCTTTATTTGTTTGTTTTGTTTTTTTGGTGTGTAATTTTTATCTATAATTTATAAGACAAATAATTTAAATAAAATGATTATTCAACAATTGGAGTTGTGCACCTACTTTTTATTTTTTTATTATTAACTTTTAACTTGAAATAATAATAATAATAATTTACATAGAGCTACATAGGGTGAGTTTAGTTAAAAATAAAAGTAATGATGAGTGTGAAAAAAGAATTAAAATAATAATCGTTTATTATTATTTTCTTCTTCAGATTAGCATGAAGTGGTGTAACGTGAAAAGAAATCAAGGCCTTGTTTTGTTTGTTTTTCAGAAAAATTTTTGAGAAAAATTATCTACAAATAAATTTTTAAGAGTAATTAAATTAAACAAATTTTTTAAAAAAAAATCTCAAAATTTTGTTTGGTTACCTACTTTCCAAAATCACTTTCTCTCTTATACACATTAAATCAATCATTTTTTTAAAACTCTTCCCAAAACAATTTCTAAAACCATTTCTGAAAAAAAAAAACAAGCCAAACAACTACTCTACAAATATAAACCAAACACACCCTAAATTTTTATACAACTAATATGGAAGAGTGATGCTAAATGGCCTATCTATGTCCTTTGGACCCCCCCTTCTTTAAACCCCCACTCACATAATTGAAATCCTCTCCTATTTTCTTTGAAACCCCACATTAATACCAACCATACCCCTCTTCTTTGGACCCCAATTCTTTTTCTTCCGTCAATCCTTTCCGTCGTCAACAACTCTTTACCATCGACGACCTTCTTTCCGGTGACCTCCACCCTTTTCGTTTCCAAAGCCTAATCCCCCAAAACCAACCCAAACCAACTCAACAATTGCAGAACACAATCAATTCAGAAGACCCAGAAAGAAAACTAAGGCTCTGTTTGATTGTGTTTTCAAACTAGTTTTCTGCTTAATGGTTTGAGTATAATGTTTGGATAGAGTTGTGAAATTAATTTTTCACAACTCTGCAGAAAGCTTTGTCAAACAGAGCGCATTTTTCAATTTTTTTTTCAAAATTTGGCCTAACCGGTTTTCTGGCCAGTCGCCTGGCCGGTTGACCGAAATAGTAATTTTTTTTTTTTTTTGCAATTGATATGTTAATTTTTATATATTCGAAAAAATATTTTCTGAATTTTTTAAAATTTTTTATGTGCCTTAAAATAATTTTGAGTTTTATGTTTGATTAGACCATCTCCAACGGTTCATCAAACCTGGTATCAAATTCAAAATTTGATGAAAAAGTCACTTTTTTGAGCTCCAACGGTTTCACCAAATCGATATCAAATCGAGAATTCAGCAAATCTTTTACCAAAATGAGAACAGGCGAAGCATTTTACCAAATCACTGTTCCTAACCGTTGGGAGAGACCAACCGGTCAACCAGCCGGTTGCCCGGCCGGTTGACCAACCGGTTGACCGCCTAAAGGTTCAAACGGTTCAAGCTTCCTCAAGACGCTAAAACAAAGGTTCAAAAGGTTCAAGCTTCCTTAAGAACCTTGAAACAAGGGTTCAAAAGGTACAACCAAAAAAAGTTTCAAAAATTTAAAAAAAAAAAATAAAAAAAAAAAAAAAAATTTCGCTTAACCAGTCAACCAGCCGATCGACCAACCGGTTGTCCCCGGCACAAATTTGATTAAAGTGCACCGTTGGAGCGAGTGGTATCAAATTTGGAAAAATGAGTCATTTTTTATTCAAATTTGGTGAAAAATCTGATTCACCGTTGGAGATGCTCTTATGAGTTGTAAGTTTTTGTATCAAATATCAAATGTCACATCAAATATTCCCCACTTAATTCAAAACTATTTTCAAAACTCTCACCAAATAAATTTTCACACTTAAATCATAATTTCAAATTTCACAAACTTAAAATACAACTCATACTCTCACATCATAATTACAAAATTCTACCAAACGCAACCTAAAATTTTGATAGACAGGTTTCATGATATCCATTTTAATTTATAGATTTAACAAAAAAAAATAATAAATAAAAATCTCTACTCTTGTCATCTTCCTTATAAATCAACAGTGTGCAACTTATAAGTCACAGACTTGATGATTCACCTGTATTTTCAAATCACTCGTCCATGGCTTCTTCGTCATCATCATGCACAATGTCTATACACTTTATTTCATCTTTAGTTCTCACATTCTTCGACGAATCTCGAATAAAAAAAGACTCATTTCATATCCCATCTTTTTGGGTTCTTCAAGAATCAAACGTAAATGGAGGTTTTAAGAGATCATATGGATCCTAGAGAGTATCGATGCCGGTAGTGATTCGGACATCGGTGTATTGGGAAGTGAAGAATGTGAGGAAGAAGAAATTGAGGAAGTAGTACAGAGAACCCACCAATCCAGGTGGTGAGAAAGAGGAGCCGACGGGAGGAGGTGGCTAGTAGGATTAGACTGGCAGTGAGGGGCTGGGTGGCTCCGACCAGCGGCGAGGGCTGGGTGGCTGCAGATGGCAGTGAGGTGCTGGCGGCGACAGGTGGAGGTGGTAACCAGAGTTGAGAGAGGTTAGGGTTTGGAAAATTAGGATTAGAACGGTAGGAATGAGGGTAAAAATGTAACTTCATATTTGGACAAAATTAGAATTAAAAAAAATAAAAGAGATGAGAGGTTCAAAGAAGAAATGTGCTAATAGCAGTACCGAAAATGAGAACAAACTAATTTTCATAATATTTTTGATTATTTTGTCAAAGGAATTCATAATGAACACTATAAATTTGTATGGGTTAATTACACTTTCCACCTTTAAACTATCATTGAATTATGTATTCAGTTTTTTAATTATTGATTGAGTCTATTTAGTCCCTAAAGTATATAAATCAAAATTTATTTAGTCCATAAACTATCGATTGAATCTATTAAGTCCTAAAATATTTAATTCAAACTTATTTGGTCTCTGAAAGAATTACAAAAATAAAATATATGCTTATAAGTATTGTAAAGTAGTAAAAGACTCTACATAATTAAGATTTTATTATAGAAAAATCTTAAAATTTTATTTTAATATCATAAAGTATTTTATTTCGTTATGTGTTTAAATTAATATTAGAGTATGATTTCTCAATCTTACCAATAAAATTATATTAGTATTATATACTGGAGAAGTAAAATTAGATAATTGAAATAATAATACTTCGTTAGAAATAATCATAATAAAAAATAATACATTAATTAAGTTTAAAAAAAAAGAACTTGTTGAAAAATTTAAAAATAATCAATTATAGATTATAAACAAAATGTATGATATAATATTAGATAATTGTAAGTACGTAACCATTATAGAAGATAAGTAAGAAAATATTACACATAATTACCCTTACTCTTTTAACCATAAGAACTAATGCTCACTTTTCAAATTTAAGTTTTTTTTTTTTGAAATAAAATTTTAACTAGATATGATCTT